CGGCCCCAGGGGCCCGGAGTTCGCCCCGGCACGGCTCCCGCGGGGCTGGCACCGCTCTTAACGGGACTCACTGCGGCTGAGTACTGGGCGTAAGGGGTATTTCGGGGAGGCGAAGCTGATGTGGGGAGTTGTACAACAGGGCGTGGGCAGGAATGGCTCGCAGGTGGCTCCTGGGCCTTGGGCGCAGGCTGAGTGCTGGGACTGTGCTCCTTGCTCGCCGCCCAGGACCCTGCAAAGCTGCGCTGAAACCTGGGCTCCTGCTCCAAGCGTGGCCTCAAGGGCTGTATTTAAAGCACATTGAAATCCATAGAGCTGGGTTATGCCATGACTGTTGCCTCTGGGAGGGTGAAGTCATGCTTTGCTCCCCGTTTCTCAGCTGCCCCTCCCCAAAACAGGGTTCCCACTTAGTGGGATTAAAGCAGAAAGAAGGGGGAAGAGTATGAACGCTTTTTAAAAGTCATGTCATATGTAGTTCTCCTGGGTTTGGAGGAAGCAATTAAGCCAATTAATTTATTGGTAAATTATCTTATGATGAAGTACAAAATAACTGCAATGAAACGCTGACATTCACATTAATACCAAATTAGTTACTGTATTATGACTGTTCTTACAATGAATGCCCAGTAATTTAATAGTAATGGGACATTTAAATAATTTAGCCGATAATTCTCTAGATCACTTACATATATAAATGAGCACGACAGCTTCTCTCAACTTTGCTGGTGCTGCTGGATTACCATCCAGCATCCCTCCCTGCCATTCCCTAAAACGAACCTCTTGCTGGAAACTACACAGGGGATGCAGTGAAACAGAGGATTTTCCTCCTTCCTCAGATTTTGGGTTTGCTGTGGCTGGAAAGCAAAGTGTGACTTCCCTGTGGCTGGGCTTAGCAAAGCCACAATCCTTTCTTTCCTGTGGTGAAAGATCTGGGTAGAGCTGCTCCACCCACGCTGGGTAGAGGAGCATCTCTTGGTGTGTCCCCTCGGAGAGCACCATTGGCCTCGCAGTGGTACAGGTGTTGGAGATCCAGGAAGGACCACTTAATTGAATAGTTCAGCCATTGACACTGAAATTACTGTGCGCTGGCTCTGCTTGATGCAACAGCTTCATTTTCAAGTAGCTCTACTTTTGGTACTAATAATTATAAACAGCATTAAAATTGCTCCTCATTCTTCCCTCCCCACCTCCCCAAGAGGACTCTCTCGTGAGGGTTTGGCAGCCACACAAGGCTGCGTTTATCTGCTTTGCTGGCTCTTTGTCATGCCCTGCACCCACAGAGCTGTGTGTAGATACACCAGCTGTGGCTTCCAGCTCCCCATGAGGGGCCCCCCCGCACACCAAAATTCAGTTCACACTGGGAGTAGCCACCATTGCACCACTATACCTAAAGGATAAACTGCCCCAGTGCTGCTTTTTCACCATAAACTGGTGAATACTGGAGAAAAGCTGCAGGCTTCTGCCCTGCCAAGCACACCTGGGATGGTAAGAGGTTCATGCATCCTTTCTGCATGTGGCCAGAGCTGTGCCCTGGAGATGGATGGTGCCAGTCAGGGTGTTTCTTTGCTATTGAGATTGCTGAAATATTAGTTAATGGGCTTGCTTACGTCTGACCTAAATGTGGTCTTTTCATCACGTCGTGTTCTGCTGTCAGACCTGTTGTGGAGAGGAGTGTTCCACTGTCGGCAAGATTGAGGATGGAATTATCCAAATTAGTTTTCTTGTGGATGAGAGCAGAGATGAGGGTTTGAACACAAAACCTGCCAGCTCTTTGGAAGAGCTTGGCTTTCCACACCAGAGATGAAGTTGAGGAGTATTGCTTTTAAATTGGGATGTGCTGCCAGATTTGGGGAGCAAGTGGGTGTTTACAAAGAAACAATAAAGGAAAGCTGAAACTTGTAGCTGTTCTGTTGCAGGGGATTAGATCCAGAGGCTTTCAGCTCATACTTTTGGGGTCCCTTGTGTGGGTTGTGATGAGTCTTCAATGGTGGTTTACTGCTGGGGTGGCTGGTGGAAGGACCTGTATATTGCAGAAATGTCCTGAGGTGTTGCATGGAGGAAACATAGCGAGAATTTTCTATTCTGGTGTTTAGATCTCCTGGGTAGAGCAGGAGATACACCTTCCAGCCTGGCAATGAAGCTGGTGAGGGGTCTGGAGCACAAGTCTTGTGAGGAGCAGCTGAGGGACCTGAGGTTGTTTAGCGTGGAGCAAATGAAGCTCAGAGGAGACCTTCTGGCTCTGCACAGCTCCCTGAAAGAAGGCTGGAGCCGGGTGGGGCCTGGGCTTTTCTCCCAAGGAACGAGCCATAGGATGAGAGGGAACAGCCTCAAGATGTGCCTGGGGAGGTTTAGGTTGGCCATGGGGAAAATCTTTCCTGAAAGGCCTGTCCCAGGCTGCCCAGGGCAGTGGTGGAGTCCCCACCCCTGGAGGGGTTTCCAAGATGTGGAGATGTGGTGTGAGGGACATGGGGCAGTGGGGACCTGGCAGTGCTGGGGAACGGTTGGGTTTGATCTTAAAGGTCTCTTCCAGCTAAAATGAGTCTATCATTTGACTTGATGCATTGTTTCTGAGAAAGTTTAGTTCCCTGTGCTTGCTATCTGTGGTATCTGGAAATGTGTGATGTGCACTGCTGGGTTGGAGACACTGTGTCAAACGCATAAGACCCAAGGAGTCTCCAAGTGCCTTAGACCCTTCCGTGCAGAAGACGTTCCTGCCACAGAGCTTCACGTTTTGCTGCTCAAGCACACAAGTAGCCACTGTGATCCCATGGGCTACATCTGTATGTGCCTTTGTTGGGGTGGGAGGGATGTGGAGCTCAATGTATGTGATGGGGCTGACTTCTGCCTGTGGGCTACTTAAACAGAGCTTGCAGGACTGGGTTTACAAGCTGTTGAAGTAGGTCTAGGTTTAACACCGCATGGAACAACCTTTTGGACAACTCAACAGGCCTGTTCCAGGTTGCTGTTAGAGCTGCTGTTCTGCCATGTATGTTTTTTAAAACAGCAGATATATCCCTGTTTGTGCAAACAAGGTAATGGGGCATTGTCTTCTATTGCACAACAGATTCCCGGGACACCCACCCCAATGGCCACCACCTGACTGCTTTGCTTTTGCTTTTGTTCCTGTTGTTAGTGTTTTCTGCTAACATCCACATGTATGGCTTTGTCCATGATGAAGGCATGGGAAGGTGAGGCAGTGCTGGTCCTCCTGTGGTTATGTAAATATTCAGCTTGTGGTGGATTGCACTAAGTGTCTTATAATCCATCCCAATTAAAAAGCAGTCTTTAGAGCTATAATAGTTTTATTGAGAACTGTAACACATTAGACCTACAGATATATAAAGCAGTTAGCTTTGTAAAGCATATAGGATATTAAAGTAATGAAAGACATTAATGTGACATCAATTTTTAAGGAGAGTTACTTGCTGAAATAAATGAGTATAGCCTAAAAGTTGATGGCATGTTACAGTCCTGAGTAATGAACCCTTCTGCCCTCTAAAATCTTACAATAAATAATGCTCGAGTGAGTCAGTGGTCGCTAACTCTTTATCTCCCGAGAGATAGGTGTCACACCAGGCTCTCATCAGATTTTTTTAGGAACTCTTTTCTGGAAAATGTATAACTTTTTGGGTGTTATTCTGATGTATCTGCTTTAAGTTGTGTTTTCAGTGAAGTAGAGCTATGACTGGTATCACCAGATGCAAAACTCTTGAGGAAATTAGTTTTTCCCTTTTCCAGTATTTGTTTTTCCTTTTCCTGTTTTCTTACCACCTGACAGTGCTCTGATTCGTGCTTCTCCCAGCGGTGTCCTGTTGTACCAAGCCTGGAGGATCAAAAAGCATGTGTATGTTTTATGAAAACTCAACCACCTCCAAAAAAAAACACTTAAAACTTTGTACTAATAAAATGGACCATTCCTTAAAAGAACTCTCAAACCTCTTAATATCCTGGCTGGCTTGTGGAGAAGCAGAAATGAAATGCTGAGATCTCTTGATAACGTTATTATAGCAAGAAGTGTAGCAATTGCTTGCCCGAACTGTCTCATTAACAGGAATGCTTAGCTGGGCCCTTTGTGTTGCTGTAGTTATAGAAACGTTGGAACTTCTCTGATCAACCCCACTTCTGAGGTATATAGCTCTTGTCAGGACTCCCTCTGGTCTGAAACCTGGCAACAGGCAAAGCATGTGCTTCTCATGGCTCTGCAAATCAACCCAGACAGGGCTTTTTTTTTTTTTATTATTTCAATGAGAGCTTAAGAAGCAAAACAAGCCCTGAACATTAAAAACCTGTTTATTGCTTTCAGATGCCTGTTCACAGTCCTGTGACTTGTAAATGATTCTGGTGCAGTTGCTCTGCAAACTTGCCAAGCTCCTGGGCTGTAATGTCAACAAGATGGTTCTGGGCTGTGTGAAAACGATGTGAAATGAAGGAGAAGGCAGTGCTTTAAACTCAGCACTGCAGGAGCTGGTGTTTCCCCATATGGACATACAGGAACCTTTATCCAAGTAGTCCTGCCTGCACCAGGGATTAAAATATCACTGGGTGTTGACATGATTGATAAGATGCCTTCCTTCTTGACCGTGTTCATCAGGAATCAATGTCTTTCCTTTGATCGTGGACCACTACTAGTGCCACAACTGTCTCTTCTGTCCTTCACAGGCCCCTGTCACCTCCAATGTGGCAACCTTCCTACCAATGTGGCATCCTGTAAAGTCTTCCTTTTCCATAAGATCCAGCCAAAATGCTGCCTCCAGCCTGAGCCTGGTAAGGCTCCTCCTAGGAATTTACCTTGTACAGCTTCCCAGTGTGAGCTACAAACAGGCAGCAGTGGGAGAAGAGGTATTCACAGAATTACAGAATGGTTTGGGTGGGAAGGGACCTTTCAAGGTCATCGAGACCAACCCCTGCAGGGACAGGGACATCTGCAGCTAGAGCAGGGTGCTCAGAGCCCCGGCCAACCTCCCCTGGGATGGTGCCAGGGATGGGGCAGTGACCACCTCTCTGGGCAACCTGGGCCAGGGGCTCTCCACCCTCCCAGTGAAAAATGCCTGTCTTCTCTCTAGTCTCAATCTCCCTCTTTTAGTCTAAAACCACCAAACCTTGTTCTGTTACAACAGGCTCTCTTCAAAAGTCTGTCCCACAGCCTTCTGGCAGGCCCCTGTCAGTCCTGGCAGCCCCCAGCAGGTCTCCCCAGCTGGAGCCTTCTCCTCTCAGCTGCCCCAGCCCAACTCTCTCCTGCTGGGCTCCCAGCAGAGGGGTTCCCCCCTCGGGGCATTGCTGGGGCTCCTCTGGCCCCGCTCCAGCAGGTCCCTGGCTCTGCTGCGCTGTATTGGAAGTGTATAGGGAAGAAGAACCCTTGACATTCCTCTCCTGACCCCATATGGTCCTTCTTGGTGTCGTGCTTCATAAAGGCTTTCCCTGGGTCCCAGGGAGGGCCTGATGACAGGCACCCTATTTGGAGCTCTTGTCTTGTAGATGAAATACTGATGGCAGGTAAATGATGTCTGACAGCTGCCAGATGTCCAACCTGCTGCTAGGCAGTCCTAACACTGATGTCTGCTGTAATTGCCCAAATCAGCTCTAAGAACCTTGACTCCATTGATGAAAACATCATGAATCCACATCTAGATAGTGGCATGGGAGGTGTTCAGAGGAACCTCTGGGCTCTCAGTGCAGTGGCCTGGGCAGCTGAATTTTGCTGTCCTAAAGATGGTCTTGGACCAAGCTATTCCTGTGTCAGGGAGAACAGGCACACCTGGGACAGGATGGGACAGGGAGAGAGGCCTGGGGATGACTCTTTCTGGTCCTTCACATGAGCAGGATAAGAAAGACAAGGTGATGGTTGTGACTGGCTCAGGGAGGAGCTGGCTTTGCCAGCAGGGGTTAGCAACCAAGCAGTCTGTAGCATTCTGTGTGTGTGACATGAGGGCATAGAAATTGTTTTCCATCCACGTTTGTTGTCCTGGGTATAATGTTCTCTAGTCCTTAAGTGAGAGATGGAAAGAATAAGAAAATACTACCAACATCTTGCTGGGAGCTTCGTAGGGCAGAAAGTGCTGTTTGGTGGGTGCAGACTGGGGAGATCATCTCACTGCCCACTTTGAGTTACTGATAAAGGACTGCATGTGGCAGGAGGGAGTTGAGCGACTTGTGGTGTCTTCTCTTGCTCTCCTCCATGAGAGGAGAGCTCCATTACTCTCCTCATGCTTTCTTTGTGCATGTATTTCAAAGCACAAAATTAACCTGTGTGTTGGCATGTGATGATGGTTGCTTTTGACTCTTCAGCTGGTGGAACTACTATTTGGGCCACATCAACTCCATGCAACATGACGGGCTTGGAGAAGAGTGGCTGGAAACTGCCTGTCAGAAAAGGACCTGGGGGTGTTGAGCAATAGCTGGCTGGAGATGAGCCAGCATGTGCCCAGGTGGCCAAGAAGGCCACCAGCATCCTGGCTTGGATCAGCACTAGTGTGGCCAGCAGGACTAGGGCAGGGATTGTCCCTGTGGACTCAGCACTGCCCTGTAGCAACCACTGTCCTGTGCTCCTCTAGGACTACCACTATTTCCATGTAATGATTTGTATCCATCGCTCTGGTGCAACAATTTATAATTTCCAAAATGTGGATGTATAATTTGGACAGAAATCTGAGTAAATTGACTGAAGAAATCACATTATCACAAATTTTGCCTTATTTATATTCATTTTGGAACACTGGCAGACTATAAATGTCGAACATGGAGATTCATGTTTCCAGTGAATAGAAATCAAAGATTCATCACAGCACTAATCTTCACTTTGAACATTGCATTTTAGCTGCCCCATTTCAAAAAGGACAAAAAGCAACCAAAAAGGTCCAGTGATGGCTATGATGAGAGGCTCAGGAAGAGTGGCTCCTGTGTAAGATGAGATGGAGATTCTGGAGTTAATTAATGCATAAGGCCATTTCGACAATCCTCTTCCCCTGTGCAATATTACAGGTGCTGGGGCAAGGTTCCATGACATTTAAAGGAAACAAATTTCAAATGGATAAAAGGAAATACTTTCTTAAGGGCTATAATTAATGCAAGGAAATGATTGCCATGGGACACTGAGGACAGTATCATTTTAGCCATGTTCAAAATGAAGTGCTGCCTGCATACTTTGTGCTGTACAAAACAGGCACGTTTGTAGTAAGTGGAATAATATTTTCAGGTTAAACTCTCACTAAATACTAGTTCTCATGTTTCAGGGTACAAATGGATTGCTACTTGGAGCAAGGAATGAGCAAGGTTTTTCTGTGCTGCAACATTGAACCATTAGCCTTTCCCTTAGGAAAGGTGTTGGTTTAGATAGGAAGCATGAGGAAAAAAGAGTGATTTGCCAAATATCACAAATGCTGCCTATGCTGAGTGAGCCAAATGGCTGTAAATGGAAATTGGAAAGTACTCAGCAGGGCTGGGAGAAATATGCACTATCATTAGGTTAGCAGTGGAAGACGACTTGGACAAAACCATTAGAAACTGTATCCTGTTTATTGGGTAAGGCCCTTTGGGGATTTGAAGCACAGAATGTAAAGGAAACCTTTCAGTCAGGAGAACTGGATGGTTTATAAGCACATCTGGGTAGAAGCTGAGGGGGATATGGGACTGATGAAGCTCTTTCAGGGTCTCTTGGCTTCAGTAGACAGGTCCTATCCCACCTGGAGTCTCTGGTGTGGGCTGCCTGCTGCTCCTTGGTACACAGCAGTGTTTCTCTGCTTGGTGGTCAAGGTTTTTACTAGGGTTTATTAGGCTTGAAGTGCCTTAGTCAAGTGTTGTGCCATTTTTTTCGAGGGTGTCAGCACTGCTAAGCTGTAGTGCTGTGCTCAGGGAGCTGGTTAAAGTCCAGTTCAGTTGTCCCCAGGCTATGCTGAAGTCACTACAGTAGATAAGTAACAGACCTGTGCCTGATAAGCTGTTCCCAGCAATAGGAAAACCACATACAATACAGTGAAAGTAGAGTTAACCACTCCATAAAGATAACCCTAGTCTGAGGGGAAAAGAGTAATGATTACTGAGCTACACGTGGAAAAAGCAGTTGTTTGCAGGGTGATCTGTGTATATTTGAAATGCACCTCAAATGCAGTAGGTTTTGCTTTTGGGATTTTAAAGCCCTGAGGGTTGGGACAAGGATGGAGTTGGAGGCAGAAACTAATTTTTTAAAAAATATATCCCTAAATGGAAACTTTTATAAGAAAATTCTTCTCTGAATTTATTTAAAATAAGGACTTAGAACTTGATCCCTATTATATATCACCCTTCAGGTTCAGTTTTTTGCTCCTCAAGAGAACGCAGCCAGGCTTGCTGAAAGTGTCAGCTTTGAAAGAAGGACCAAGGCGTTGTGCTGAGTTCTGTTAAACACACGAGCTGGGTGCTGGCAGTAGGCCCATCAGCACAGTGTGCCAGGCGTGCTGCCCGTGCAGAGCTGCTGCCTGTAATAATGGCTGTTTGCCTGGCAGGGCCAGCAGGCCGGGCTGCCAAACATCCCAAAATATGGGACGTGGGTGTTCGGTGCTGCTGAGCCATAAATCATCATTCAAACAGCGATGAGCCAACCCATCAGCAGAATTAGCAGGTCTCTAGATCAACTGTGCCAGGACAAGGATGTGGCAGGGGACAATGAAAGGCAGTCAGCTAACAGCTCTTAAAGTCACCTTAAATGTTTCTTCCTCCTCTTTGTACACCGGCTCCTGTGTGGCCAGAGCAGTCACGAACTCTTCGGTCCTCAGAGGCCTCCTGGTCATCTGCAGGAGGCGCAGCTCGCTCAAGACAGCTTGGACTGCCTGGACAATTTGTCCCTGGGTGTAACCATCAGACACCATTGCCAGGCAGCTGATGTTCACCAGCTTGGTGATCACGCCGTAGTTCTGCAGGATGATGTGTTTCCATAACACTGTTCATCAGGACCCAGAAAAAGAGAGAATGCCTAAGACGCACATTAAGGAGAGCAGGATTCTTTTTTTCATTTTAAATTGAAACAGGAAAATAAAGGGTGTCAGTCAGGAAGCCAAAATTCAAATTTTTCTTCTTTGCTGTTTTTTTTCATCTACAGATTTGTAGCACAGAGGCCTTTGGGCACACCTGTTCTTAAACCACTACTGGTCATGTGTTGGCTACCAGTCAGTACTTCTCAGAAAGTCATTAAGGGCACATAATGAGTGGTGGATATATGTGTAAAAATGGCAAGAACTACTTAAATGTGCCTGTGTGTATAGAAAGGCATAGAACTTGTCCAGAACCTTCCCAACTGGGAGTAGAGAGCTAAGTACCTATATTAACAGCCTGGTTTTATTTCCATGACCTTGATCACAAGTTACTCCTGCTTTGGGGACTCAATGTCTGGTTTGGAAGCCGAAGGCTTCCAGCTATTCAGGCACATGCTGCAAAGCCCAGGTGTAAATTTCTGTGATTGGTATTTTGCTTGTTGTTTAACTGGTGAACCTGTTTCTAGCTTTTAGCTGTGAACCTCGGTGTCACGAAGGTTTTCTTGATGTCTGAAGTCCCTGCAATTTTGCTTCTAAAAATAAATTCATGGAAGCAATAACAGCTTTTGGTTTATCCTATGTAAAGTAACAGTCTGCCTCAGAGTAAAACTTTCATGTGATCTCACCAGGCTTTCTTTAAAAGCTTTATATGAAAATGTGAAAAAAAAAATAGTATTGTGCACAGAGATGGAAAAGGTTCTTAAATGAAGCAGTTGGTGATTTGAGTATCATGTCTGTCAATGGTCGTGGTCAGTATGAAAGTGTTGGGTGGGAAGTTCATGGCACTGGATGTCTGGGCAGCCTTGTAATGGAGCAAACCTGCCTTACTCTTCCTTCGACTGCGGTGTCGGTACTATGGTCTTGTGCCCATAACTATTGACAACTTTATACTTTTCCACTTGGGCAGTTTGTGATCTTCCACTTGAGTTATATCTGTGCTCAATACTTATTGGCTGAACCACTAATTCACACAAGAGGAATTGATGCACACAACACTGAGCATGACTCTTGCACAGCCATCTATTGTCTGCTGCAGGTAGGATGTGTAATACCAGGTACAGACTTGCTGGGTGATTAATAGCAAGAAACCAGTATAGGATTGTGAGTCTCCCAGTTTAATGATTTCCATTGTGTGTTGACTGTTTCCATCACGCTTAGGTTGGAATATTCTGGCTTGTAGCAAAAGGAAGGGTTGTAGCAGGCAGGTAGCTGTGCACTGTGGCTGCATTTGTTATGCCATGGCTTTGCTGTCAAAACAAATTTCTTTAGTTCTCAAATCGAGTGTCAGGGACTGAAAATTGTCACGATTGGATGGTGAATGCTCTGCACTGTAAAGATCATATTTCCATTGAACTTCAGGGAAGATTTGAGCTAAAAAAAAAAACAGCCAGGCTCTGTCTTACATGGGACAATGCCAAAGAAGTAAAGCCACAAGTTTAATCTGCTTCAAAATGTCAAGAGTTAACTTTTGGGGGCATTTGTAAGTTTGAAGTTGAGATAGCTTCAGCTGGCCCTTCTTTTGACTCCAAATTAGTGGTGAGAATCCCAGAATGTGACAGCTCAATCCCCAGAAGGGAACTCAGCTAAATTCAGCTGCTATCACCTCCTTTCTCTAGGTCTTATTCATGTCCTTTATCTGTTAGCAATTTATCAGAGCTGTAACATAACATGAAACACATGTTAGCTTGCTTAGGGACCATTTCCCATCCACACAATGAAAATTATTGAACGTGGGAGAGATTTATGATGTGCTAGGCAGTCAAAACCTGTCTTGAGCTTGCCCAAGTGTTCATCTTCTCAGTACCTTGTCTGCCTCCATGAAAGGTAGTACAAAACTGCATGTCACAATGATTTTTGCAATAAGGTGACTGTGCAGCAATGTTGTAGTCAAGGTACAATTGTGTAGTGAGGTCCCTGCACTGGAAGTGGTTTCTTTACTGATGTGTTTTTCTGGGACGTGATCTACTGGAGATGGTGTCGTGTA